ATTTATTTTACTTCACAATCCCATCGGAATCACTGAGACTCAAGGGGATGTGAACTGTCTTTTTGTTCCTAGAGGACAGACTAATCCCAAGGTGACACAATTTAAGACCCTTTGTTGAAAGTGACCCAAAAGTAAATGGACTGACAATTTCATGGAGACTCACTGTTCCCTGACAACAACTTGGTATATCAACCTTGGAAGCAGATATTCAGAGAGTTGGAAAGGAACATGCCTTGGGGACCAAAAAGAAGTCTATTCTGAGCCACCGCATCTGTTGGAAGGACTCCTCTTTTCCAAGTAGCTGGTCTGTAGGGATTTCCTGCTATAAATTCTCCAGGTAAAAATTCTATCTGCCAAAAATGCATAGTATAACTTTAGCTGTAAGAAATGAAATATTACCCCAAGTTTTACACTTTCCCAAGTATTAGTAAATATAATGATAAATTTAGGCGCTATGAAGTTCTGCCATTTAAATATTTCTCATGTAGAAATGTATTGTTTTATAAAATAGCAATCATTAAATCAGTGAAGTATACACCACAGAATTACACTGATGATTTTTAATCTTTTGTAAACTTAACATCAACTTAACATTTTAAAAAAATTGTGCAACTCGAAGGGCATAGTACTCTACCAAAAATTATAAACCAATTGGACATTGATAGGTAATTAACCTTAAATCATGGCTCTTTGTCTTGTGATAATCTGCCATGACATCTGGCATGCCTTTCCTGAGTCAAAAGGCCAAAAGGCCTGATTTTTATTACATTGACTTTGAGGTCATTCTGTTCATATGATAAAGCGGTCAGCCCTCAGCCTCACACTTTCCGAGCCTGGCCAAGTTAGGCGGGAGGGGTTCCATTTCACAGCGAAGCCACAAGAGCTTCCTCCCATTAGTGGCGCAATGCCTCGGAGTAAAGGGAGGTTAAAACTACCAATTAAAGGGCTCTCTTTAAAAAATAATAATAATAACAGTAGAATAAAGGGCTCTCTTTGCCTGCGCTGCCCCTCCTGCAGCTGGCCCTCCTGCAGCCCCGCGCTGTCCCCTGCCTACCGAGCCCTCACAGTCCCGGTCCACTGCCCAGACAGCGCCTCTGCGTCCACGGGTGTTCCTGCGGTGACAGCAGCGTGGGAAGGCAGTGATGAGGCGTGAGGTGGTGGGAGCCAGGGGCAGGCACAGGCCTTGCGAGGCGTGGGACCCTCAGGGTGAAACAAGCCCTAAGAGGCCAGGAAGGGGACGGCTCCCCGAGCGACAGCGGCATCCTGGCCACTCTCCAGGTGTTCTAAGAGATCTCAGTGAGAAGCATCCTCCACCGAAGACATTTTGTTGTTGGCACAATTTAAGACCCTCTTAGCAGACGTTAGTTATTACTAAATTTTAAACTTATATTTGCAAACTTCAAATCAGTACACTGCATGCCCAGAAAGATTAATTCCTAATCTTTCAGAACTCTTATTTTTAGCCTAATAGTTAGCTATGATGATTTTCTAGTGAAAATATCCAATGGAATTATTTTTCTTACACAGTGACTTGGAAGATGCTTAAATAACTATATAAGAAAGTGTCATGATTTCCGAAATTTACTGTAAAACAATATGTTCACAAACCTTTACTGAGCAGCCTTATTTTTAAAATATTGCCTACTTTCATTTCCTTAAATTTATGTAGAAAAGAAATGTAATTTAAAATTAATAAAGGGAGCTGGGCGTATAGCTCAGTGGCACAGTCCTGCCTGGTAAGCACAAGATCCTTTTTTTTTTTTTTTTTTTTTTTTTGTACAGGGGATTAAACTCAGGACCTTACACTTGCCAGGCAGGTACTTATACCCCTGAGCTAACTCCTTAGCCCCTGAATACAAAATCCTGAGTTTGACTCCTAGTACCAAAACAATAAATAAATAAATACATAAATAAAATAGAAGATTTTTGTTTTCAAAAGAAAAGAAGAAATACGGGATTTATACATTTTGGGGGCAAGAAGTTATACAGCAAATCAATTTTCATATTCCACAATAAATTTGCAGAAATAATGAGCTAGGAACAGGGACTACAATATTACTATCACTGAAATTATATATCTATATATTTTTTCTTCAAAAAAGTGAATTAATTAACCACTGCATTGTTTTCTTTTATGCACTGAAATTTATTTTTATCAGCATGATTATTCATATAAAGTGTTCAGTAGCAGAACACGTGAGCATCCACATATTTATTGTTTTTTCTCCTACTTTCTGATTATTAGCAGGTCTAATCTGTACATAGAGGGCAGTGTTTTGGCAAGAAAATGTGTATCCTGGTACCTAGATCTGTGACTCTACCACTTGCTGTCCAGCGGGGAGAAACAGAGAAAGCCCGAGACTCTGAGAGGATAGTCACACTTTCCTCCTGGCTAGAGGTAAGTTAGGAGGTTATTCTGGAAGCGCAAGGCCAACAACAAGGGTAGACTCAATTTATGAATGGAGTACACACTATGAATCACTTCTACTTTCCATCACAAGCTAGATCCCACAGTGTAGGTATCTGTGGCAGTTGTGGAGTGATAACTACTGAGAAGACCCACTAAATCATAACACACTTGCAAGAGCTGGAAATTTTCACTGCTGATTTTACCAAAGCCCACCACAGTGAACTTGACAGGCCAACTATGCCCTAGAGGTTGGATGCCAAGATGAGGTCACACCTGCTTCTGTTGACCATTGACACCGTTTCATAAATGAGGACACTCACAGCTCATTTCAAGTCGGATGAAGTCTTTAATGCCAAGGTTTTCTAGGAAAACTCCAGATAAAGCGGTGGTTTTGAAAAAGAAGGAAATGTCTGCGCTGAATTCCGCGTGGAAGGTGGGGAAGTGGAGATACGAGGCTTCCGTAGAAAATGAGACGGCATTCCAGAAGTGCCCTGCAAGGACAGAATCCTTAAGCACGGATCATGGTTCTCCACGGTCAGGGAAAAGCGCTGGGTATGGAGATAATTTTCAGGACTGAGGGAAACTGTGGGGAAAAGGGATAAGGGACTAAAAACATCTTGTGCTCATGTAATGCGGAGAAAGCTTCTTTCGATTTAGTACTCACTGTCACCATAGCAACGCAAGGGACCAATTCTCCAAGCAGCTTCTGAGTTTGATCTGTTGGTATCGGTGATAACTATCTGGGTGACAGGCAAGTGATCTTTGAAGGAAAGGAAGCCAGTGTCATTCGTCCTGAAAGATATAAAATTAAGAAAAAACATGTGGAAAATCTAGGAACTGTGTGCTGAGAGCCCTCTTTTCACAAGTGACTTGGACCAGATGTGGAGGGGCTGGGCAGGGATAGGTGTGACAGAAGGCCTTTGGTCTCAGGACGGTGTGAGGGGCTGGAATGCCAGTCACATGCCTATGGCCCCCTTCCAAACACCACTGGCATCTACATCTTCCCGAAATGCACTGCAGAAACACAGTTTACAAAAATTGCAGCTGTGTATTGTAGCTGGGTACAGCCTACCTGCCCTGGGCAGCACAGTGTGACCCTAACCATGGCCTCCATGCCCCATAAACAGAGTGGCCACCTTAGTAACTACCTGCAAGTAGGCATTGCAGTCCCTCTCCACAGGCCCTCCAAGGGCCTGTTCCAGCCACCTGCCAACAGCTGTAATCAGCCTTCGATGTTTTGTAGTACCTTTTCTCTCATGTAAGAGCCAACCTTTCTTTTATGGTTCCTTCGCATGTTGGTCTTGCTCTGAAAGATCTCAGTAGCTGAGGATTCTGGCTTTGTTCTTGTCAATTATGCAAATAGAGGATTTCCTATTTACATTTTTTGCAATGTTACAAAAAGGAGAGAGCCACTATTTCTCTCCCTTATTAAGCTGTGTTTGAGAGGTGAGGTGAGATTATACCATTTTGCTGGGAGTAAAAATAGGTAGGAAGAAACTGGAACTGAATGTAGAAATGTTTTGAACCAGAATTATACAGGGAGATAGAACTGGGGAAATAGTTCAGTGAAAGAACGCTTATGTAGCATGCAGCTACAAAAAGATGATAAATAAATAGAAAATAGATAGATAGATAGATAGATAGATAGATAGATAGGTAAGTATTTAGATAGATGGATAGATTGATAGATAAATGATGACCACTACAAGAATTTTTCCTTGCAATATACTTCATGAGTAACGTTATTCCCTTTATGAGTGAGTGACTTTCCCATTTACAAATGGAGAAAGTCCAAGTAAGGCTAGAAGGTATCAGGTAATATCACAGGCAACAGGGGAAGGAATCAAGATGCATTTGTGACATTCCTCGGTACTATAAGCTATGCTAAAGGATATAGCTTTAGAATTGCACAGGTTTCCTCTGGAATCCCAGGTGCCAGCTCCTATTTGTGTTATTTCGGGCAAATCATTTCTTCCTGTGATGCTTAGTGTGCTCAGTGTTTACGTGAAGATACATCTGACAATAGTTTGAGAAGGACTAAATGAGATTATATAATCACTAAATATGACACACGCTCTGTGTTAAGTGCTCAGAATGGTAATATCTATTGTAGTTCTCTTCACTGTCCTGAAGTACTCTTCCATCCAAGGCAAGCCAACTTATTTTCTATGCATGAGCTATTTTTCAGTGTTGGACATTTGTTGTTATGTAACAAATGTGGAAAATTACGTCTTAAGATATGCAATAACTCCTCAAAGCTTGAGAAAGATGTATATTAATTGATTTTATAAATAAATAATCACCTGGGCACTTTCCCTTACTTTAAAGAAATACAGTATCTATAAATCGACTATTATATTTAGAGGTCAGAAATGCTCAAGTGATGTAGAAAAAGATTGATTTCCAGGTTGGAAACACATCTGGAAATGATGCCTAGGCACAGAACAAACCTGTCTTTGCATCCAAATTACGGTGGCTCCTATTGCTAAGCAGAGCACCTCGGGCTATAGTTAGGACTTAGTGCACTTTGCAGACTTTTGCAGTCCCTGAAGCAGTGCATAAGACCCTTTATAATACAGCTGAGTGGCATTTGAGTAATGGAGGGCACGTCTTTCCACTGCAGTCAGAGGGACAGGACTTACGTTCATAAAGCTTGACAGAACAGTTGTGTATCAGCGAAGACATTCTGAGCCTTGATTTCCCCATCTTTTATATGGTCATAACACTAAGTGGCCATTGCCATTAAATCAAAGGAGGTAATATATACAAGCTAGCTAACTCACGGACATACAGTAGGGACTCAGTACACAGTTACTGAAATGCTCAGTAATGTTTAAAATGAAGTGAAAACCAAAAGCACCTAAAGGGAAAACAGAAAAGGGAACACGATGTTTGGAATGAATAAGCAAGCAGGATACAGGTTCCCACTTATAAGGCTCTAGGGCCCATGCAATATTGCCTGTGGACCTACCTGAAGAAAGATGCATGACCTAGAGAAAGAACACATGTGTTCAGAGAAAATTCAGGTATTCTCAAGAGCAAGGGTGTGGCAGAGAATTAGCTAGCCAGTGTCATCCCCTCTGAGCTTACTAGCTGAAGCATGGGATTGCACTAGATTCACACTATCAGATGGCAGGGGAATGACGATCTCCTAGTGCATCCTACGAGCAAGGGGGACAAAACGCCACACACTGTCACCTATCCTCATCAGCGCAGGCTGGCTAAACATGCTATAGCCCTATGTTTTTTCTTCCATTTTAGGTCCTTCCCTCTAAGTTAACAATGCATATGGTAGGCAGCAGACTAAGAAAATCATGGGAAGAGTTCAAGACGGCAACCCTCTTTGCAGCCTTCATGCAAAGTTGAAGGGGCAAATCTCAAGGGACTGCATGACCTCCCTTTGAATGAGGACGTGATTTCCTGTGGTGGCAAAGGAGTAACAAATAGGATGCTCACACACTATTCTTCAAGAGCAGTATGAAGCTCGCCAATTATTCTGTTTCAACATTGTTTAGCAAGGAATTATTTTCCTTTGCCTTCCTTCTTAAGACTTCCAGATAAAGAAGACCCAGGGAATGAGCTGACTGGAAGCTGAAACGAGCTAAAGGAGCGTGTGGCACAACACAAAAGCCAATGGAGCCAATGAGTATGATCAATACGTAGTGTACACTGGATAATAGTCATCCATCTTGGTCATGTTCCCTCATTGCAGAGACAAAATATCTAACATCTAAAATTAGGGAAGGAAAGGTTTGTGTAGCTCACAGTTTGTCCATGTTTCAGTCAATAATCAGCTGGCTCCAAGGCCGGGTGGTGTAGCATAGGGGCAACACTTCACGGTGGCAGAAGACAGCAAAAGAAGTGAAAGCAAATGCAGGGCAGGGGAGCAAGCCCCTTCCCTTCCTTCTGTTGTAAGCAGGTTAGCACCTCCTAGAGTGGGTATGGCTCTCACTCCATCTCCTGTGCCCTCCTCTTTCACAGGCTGAGAATTTTTTCAAAGTGAAGATTTATGGTCTGTTGCTAAATCACTAGGTTAAGTTTCTAAAGTTCTCCAGTTGACATAATGAATGAACCATGACTATCACAACATACCATAGCATAAACAGCCCCCAAAGGGCACCTCCTCTCCACCCCAGGGTGTAGAGCTGTGGGGTTTCTTAGTGAAGCTTCTAAACTTCTCAAGCTGACTCAAGGTATCAACTATCACACCCTCCCATTGTGCTCTACACAGAGGAGAACTCAGCTACAGTACAGTTTTCAGTTTCCAGCTCAAGAAGCATAAGGAAAAAGACAAAACAACTTGTTACACATTTGGAATTTTCAGATGTAGTTTTTGCATAAATAATCTAGAAATCCAAAGCCATAGGGTTCTTCATAATCAGATGTGAGAAAGCAAAACCAGATCCTCATGCATGAATATTGACAGAGATTTCTCAGTGCCTCTCTACTATCAGGAAAGTAAAGGGCTGGGGATGTACTTCATGTTTACTTAGAGGACTCTGGACCTCAAGTTTAATGCATTGTACCACAAAATGTCCCTGAAAGGTTTACATTATAAAATTGATTAAAGGTACCACCGGTGGAGATGGTTGAAGGTGTCATTTGCCGGATAAAATCTGGATCTGAACAGAGAACACCAGAAATGCTTGTTTTCCTAGGCTGCAATCAGTCCTAGTCAGGAAGCGAACAGATGAAAAGTAAGACCACTGATTCATTAGCACACACTCATGAGCAGACACCATGCAGATCTAGGGGGCGCCAGCTATATCTTTTTCATTATCTGAAATGGATCAATGATTTATTTTCTCTAACTCCCCAAGTTCCACCATGTTCAAATCCAGTTTGTCTTCAAATAATCCCTAAATAGTGTACATCCTCACTTTCTTCTATGTTCTAATTTCATTTCTTATGTATAATGTTTCTGCTATTTATTAATAAATTGACCTTCGTGCATGAAATTCTTATTTTGCCCATGAGAAATTGGGTCATTATACAGGGACATTATACAGGGAGACAAACTCAATTGTGTGGTAAGGTTAAACAAAATAAGTGGCCATTCATACACGCAGAGACTGGCTTCTGTTTGGCCTGAGGACCTGCCCTTAATCGATGGATAATGTCTCATCATGTGCCTTGAATCCATCTTTTCCTGTTTCCACAGTAATTCCCTTAATGAAGGGCCCTTCCTGGTCTGCAATGCCAATGTCTCCCTCCACCCTGGTTCTTGCATCCCTTATGTTTTGGACTTCTTTTGCTTTATCTCTCTCAAACATTTAAAACAATAACTGTCTGTGATAAAGAGAAAAAATTTTCTGATGAAAATGACATGGATTTAGAGGTGATACTAGGTAGAGTTTTTTGTTGTTGTTTTGCTTTTATTTTTGTACAGAGTCTTGTTATACAGTTCAGACTCATAGTGACTCTCTCTCCTCAGCCTCCTCAGTGCTGGGATTACAGGCAAGCACTACCATGCCTGAATTTGTTGGCAGGCATGGTGCATTTGGCGTTCTGGGGCCAGCATGGCATGTGGTAGTGGAGATCGAACTAGGGACCTTGCACTTGCCAGACAGGCTCTTAATCCACTGAGCTATCTCCCAAGCCTCAATACCAGGTAGATTTTGAGGCTGTCATTCTTGGAACACAATGTTCACTTGGGGAGTGTAGCAGAGCAGTCAGGTTCTTGTGGCTGAGAGCGGGAATGGGCTTTGCTTTTCTCTGGCGCTGGGCTACTGGAACAGCATTTCATAAATGCGTCTCTTCATCATGAGAACAACCACATGAGGATGTTGTAA